TATACTTTTGCAATCAAAATTATTCAACCCCCTTGACCTGCAAGACATTCTGCTGCCATTCCAACCAAGGCATCATTGAACTTTTATAGAAAGTTTATTAATACACATTTGAGTGATTATAAGGACATGAAGTTGATGAAAAATGAACAAACAAAAAAAATAATCTAATTGGCTCTAAGCACTCAAAATTATTCATCCCCAAAAGTTGCAAAATGTAGAGAATCTTATTTATGATCTCCAGTAAGTGCTGACAAGCTTCTGTCACCTCTCTACTGGAATCTTGGCCCATTCCTCACCTGAAAAAGCTGTATTTTTCATGAGATTTCATCTGAAGACTGAGCAGACCACTCAAGAACATTCTACGACTGATTTCTGATCCAAGTTTCAGATTCAGATGTATATTTTGGGATTGTTGCCCTGCAGGAAAGTCCAGCTGTGTCTTTAGGAACTTTTAAGTGTCTTCTTTAGTCATAGACTTTCTAATGTAATAGAACAATTTCTTCTGAACTGTTATAGATGCTATTTTTTTTTTTAATTCTGGATCTTCAGAATTTTGTAAGTTCTTACAGTCTCTGGGGGGTTGAATAATTTTAATTATAACTCTGTGTGTGTGTTATTTTGTTAGGTGGAGCACCACCCACGGATGATGCAGTACGCTGCGGAGAACTGTGCCCTGCGGGAGGAGATTCGAGCCCTGCGTGCTCTGGATTCTGTCAGATCTGCGGTTGAGACCAAGGCTCAGTCATTAACCGCGCTGGAGAAAACCTTCCTGCAGCTGCTGGAGGCTCAGACAACAGAGGAGAGCACAGGAGGGGAAGGAGCAGGTGACATTTATAACTATTTGTTTCTCTTTGCAAACTGGTAGAGACCACTGTTGCATGAATTGATGCTATGAGCGTCAACTGCAAAAATTTTCAAATTACAAAAAGGCCCATTTAGTTTTCCTACCTTAAAAAAAAACCTGAATGTGTTGACTGCAAAAAAGCTCTTAATTTTTAATTACATATTTGTATCCATTAAATAGGTCTACAATAAAGTCAACAAAAAAGTTGCAATGCTATGTTTGTCTTTTATGTTAAAATGTGACGCACAGGCAGATCACTTAAGCTACGGTTACTGTCTTGATTCATAGCTCCGCCCATCTACTCCACCCCTGTCACTATGGAGACGTTGTCATCAGTTTCCATGGAGAGGATAAAGGTTCAGCTGCTGCAGAAACAGTCAGAGCTCACAGCGACAATTCAGGCCTTCGAGGAATTCAAGGAGGTCAACAAGTATGTTCATGACTCATTCATGTAACGTAACTAATGCTTGTCGAATTGAGTGTCTTTGGTGGCTGTAAATTAATATCATTCTGACCAGAATGTGAAAATTATACTCCTCAGAAAACAGCTGGCTGAGCTGGAATCTGAGAAGCGCTACCTCGAGAAGTCCAACAAACATCTGGAGAAGATCCTAGAGGCCACTAAAGCCCACAGCAAACAGGAAGTGTCTCAACTCAACAAGATTCATGCTGAGACCATAAAGGTAAAGAGCTCAGACTTCACGTCGGTCTGTTTTAAATGATTTCGAAATTTAACCTCCTATAATGACTACTGCTGCTCCTCAGATTTTGACTACACCCACCAAAGGTTATAACCTGCGTAATCGACTGGTGCCGCTGTCTAGCCCAGACCATCTCAATGGACAGGACGAGAATATCCACGTTGATGACATCCAGAGCGAACAGCCGCCTCCTGAGATGAGCGAGCTGGCCTGTGAAGCGCTCACTGAAGAACTCAAACAAATGCAGGTGCTCACAATGCTTTCGTAGTATTGCATAAAATTATGATAGTTTGAATTAATTACCAAAATGAGTATTTTCTGAAGCGTAATTTCATGTTGCAAATTACTGTAGATGTTGTTGTGGGGAATCTGTCTGGACTTGAACTTTTTGGTTTGGTTTGGTTTTAGGAACAGGCTCTCCTTGTTCAGGGCCAGTTAGACGAGGAGGAAGCCAAAAACAGGAAGCTGCTTCAACAAATCAGCAAGCTGGAAGAACAGGTTACCATAGCAGCCGAGAAGTCCAGTCACACAGAAGAGGTGTGTTTGCAGTAGTGTTGGGTGTTTCTGGTGCTCTGGTCCATGCATTGGTTTGACATTGCTCTCTGCAGATGTTCGGTGCTGAGCGACACTCGCTGCTGGAAGAACAGGTGCGTCTGCAGGAGAGAATCAGGATGCTGGAACAGCAGCTGGAATACGAAAACAGAGAGATGGACGGTGAGTCTTGAGCTGATGTTGAGTTTCTTGTTACATAAACGTTTTCATGCTGGTACCTACCCCGATGAAATAATTATGCATTGATGTGGAGCTTGCAGTCCAGTAAGTGAGTAATGTGTTGATTTAGTAGCCGATCTGATGAATTCTGTGAGTTGATGGCTGTTTGCTGTGACCTCTCTGCAGTGCTGCGGGTGGAGGTGCGAGATCTGCGTGTCGTCTTGCAGTCCTCTGATAAGGAGCTGGAGGCAGCCCGGACAGAACTGCAGCAGCGGAAAGCAGAGCACGAGAGAGAGACCACAGATCTGTCCAAGAGCCTGATCAGCACACAGCTGCAGCTGGACACTGTCAAGTACATCACACACACTAACACCACTGATGCTCTAATAATAGTACATATACTTGAAGTAGAGGAATTATGGAGTAAATTAACCAAAACGGTTAAAAAAGCAAATCAGGACCATCAAGCTTCTTCAAAGCACTTCTTCAAGTTAGTTTAGTTAAAAATCACACGGGTGTGAGGATTGTGGACACCTCAATAAGAATGTTTTTAAAACGACAAAACTAGGCCCACATCAAAACTCAACTGAGTAATCTGTTCACAACTGAGTGCGTGTTATAAAAGATACAAATGGTTCCTATACAGTTGCTGTTTGAGCCAAGGCGAAAAGGGCATTGTTGTTCATTAGCGTTTTGTTCCCATACCATATTAACAAAACATTTTAATGACACTAATAATACTAAAAGTATAGGTTATAATAACAGTCTTTAATAGGTTCAAGCACTGCATCTTAATCAGTCATCGATGAAAATCTTTTTTTTTCTCCCTGTCATTAATGTATGGGCCACAAGACATTGAGTTATTGAGTCAATAAATTATGATTGATATAGCCTACCGTTATCAGCATGTGTTGAGGTAGATTAATCTCTCTTCTGCGAGACAATTAATGCGCCGTTAATGCAGAGATGCAAGAGATGCCAAAAGCTTAGTCATGTTTTTTTTTTTTGCGCTTTCACTTTTTGTAGTGAATAATTGACTAAGGTTTGAGCAACTCTTGCCTGTGTTTTATTCACGGGGTCACCTTTTAGGTGAAATATTTCTATGGGACTATCTTCGATCACAAAATGATACACGATTGTCATCACGATTTTGTATCTGTCTGTCTTAGGGTGCAATACAGAATACATTTATATTTATTTCTCTTTGATGCTTAGTATGTCCTGTATGTCGTTCTCAGGCTGGAGTGGAAGCAGGTGCTGGAGAAGCAGCGTGATCTTCAGGACATGTATGACACACTGCAGGCTGAGTTTCAGTTCGAGCTGGATCAACACACACAGCAGATGGAGCTCAAGAGCCGAGAGTGCTCAGAAATGCAAACCAAGATTAATGTCAGTATTCATTCACACTCGCACTGTCACTCGTTCTTAAGCGGGTTTTGGTTTTCACATACTGTGGAACATCTTTTGTTTGAAGGAGTTGCTGCATACTCTTCAGGAGGAGAAAGAGCAGAATAGCAGTGTGAGATCCCAGCTGACCGCACACAGAGAGAGTGTGTCCAAGTGAGTGAGAGAGACACGCAAACACTTGATAATATCTATAACTAGGGATTCACCGTTACCACTTTTTCCAGTACTCGCCCGATACCGATACTTTTATTTTTGGTACTTGCCGATACAGAGTACCAATACCAATATTTTCATTGCATTTGTAAATTTTTCAAATATTGGGTATAGAAACCAAAAGAGTATGTATAATATTAGTTGGTTAACTTCATTTATCAAATAGATACAGTCAAACCAAAATGTATTCAGACACCTTCAACATTTCTCACATTATCACAGTTTATTCGCTATAGTTTAGAAAATGGTAATAAAACATGACAAGAACTCAGAGTTAAACTGTCAGAACAAATTCATCTTGATAATGTTAGATAACTTTGATAGAAAGGTATGTAATGGATTACAATAAACCAAAAATTATTCATGCAGCTGTCAATATTTACACAACTATCAATACTTTGTCGGGTGACCCTTAGCCTTAATGACAGCCTGTAGTCTCCTGGGCATGCTGTCATCCAGCTTCATGTAAACCTCAACTTCAATGTTTTTTCCCAGACTCTGTCTGAATAATTTTTGGACCCAAATTTGTATCAGTTTTATTGGTAGTCCACTGTATGAAGAATTTTTGGGTATAATATATGACAGTTTAGTTTATTTTGCTATCCTCACTTTACATAAATTAACTATAGTGTCCTGCACCCACTAGTAAAAAAATATCAAAAATTATATCTGGTCTCTGAATCATTTTTGGTTTCACTGTATATCCTTCGGTTATTTTCACACTTAATTATGCCCATTAAAATGTATTTTACAAGTTTTTGTTACTTTCACTGTTCATTTTTTTTCTCTCTCTATGGTAGCCTACATCATCTTTCATTTAATAGCATTAGAGCTGCTCCACTGCAGCGGGTTAGTACTGTAATCACTCGCTTTGCTGTAATAATGCAGGGAACCACTCGCTATAAATCTCCTAACTATGATATTTTCATAAATAGAAGTTGCATTTATTTCATCTGAAACATGCAGCGATTTATTTTCCAAAGCCACTCATATAATGCAGAAACACTCAAGCAAGCAAAACGCGCGCAACGCGTGCACGTATTTGTACTGATGCAGAATGAGAGGGACAAGTACAGTACAGTCTAGCGCATTTCACACAGGCTGTTAGTTTCACTTTCGCCAGAAAGTCGTGTATGCTTAAGGGTGAAAATAAATGACGTTTATAGTGAATGCCCCTATAAATTGTCTTATATTTACGATTTAGTTTTAATCCAAATGATGCGTGCTAAGTGAGCGAACATCAGTAAAGATCACACAACAGAAGTGTGCGCGCTCTCTCTCTCCCTCCCTCCCTATCATTAAGTAACTTGTGCATTGTTTTACTTACTTCTTTTTGACATATCCGACTGAACTACAAACTTTCCAGTGATGTCTGTGAGAAAGATATATTCACTCGACAAGCTCGCGCATCTGCGCCGCCGCGCGCTCAATCCACTCAGCGCGCTTTGTTTATCAGCTCGCATACATATACTTCGTAGACATCTTTAATCTCTAATAACTCCATTCTGCTGTCTGTTGTCGGTGTTTCTTTGTCTGAATGTGGCACTTATCACATGCTATGTGGTATCGGCGTTTGGTATCGGGGCATTTTAACGAGTACGAGTACAGGAGCTCAGTATCGGGCCCGATACCGATACCAGTATCGGTATCGGTGCATCCCTATCTATAACATCAAATACAGCAGAAATGTGTTTGGATAAGGGACTTGATTTAACTCTAAACAGTGTTGTTGTTGTTTACAGTGGTCCTAAAAGTAATTAGACACTTCAGTCATGCTTAAGTAAAATGCTATTTCATTTAGGTTTAATATTAAAACCAAATATCAAGCAAGTTAGGCTTAGTTTTTATCTATTTATTTATATTTATTTTTTAATAGAATAGACAATAGAACAATAGATATACAGTAATGTGAGATGTAAAGTGAAAGTGTTGTCAAATGACTGGCCTTTTAAAAATTGCTTGTAAATCTCATCTTTTTTTAACCTGTTTGTCGTCTTGTTTTCTTTAAATTAGCACAGGTTTTGTATTTCCTTTTGAAACTGATTGATTGTAGGCCTCATTGATCTGTGCTTATGCGCCTCAGTTTTTGAGTGAAAAAAAGCATTCTTTGTGGATAATTCTGGCAATGTTCACTCAAAAACTGAGGTGCATAAGTTCAGATCAATGAGGCCTACAATTGAGCATTTATAAAAAGAAATACAAAATCAGTGCTGATTGACAGGAAACAAGTTGATAAAAAGATTGAATCCAGTATTTGGTAATAAAATAGCGTAACAGGAAATTCATAAGCAGTTTTTGTTTGCTGGTCATTTTTGACCAGAACAGATAATAGTGGATTATGTCCATAGCTCAGTGTTCAAATACTTTTTGTAGCAGCTGTACCTGTATGCACTTGTCATTTGCATTAGTAAAAGCATATGCACCTATAGACGTGTTGAAGTTGAGTGTGTATTACAGAGAGCTTGTGCAGTCTGTAGAAGAGAATGCCTCACTGAAGAAACGCATTACTGAGCTGACAAACAAAAATCAGCAACAGGTATGTGTGTCTGCTCACAGTTCTTTTGTGATTTGCAATTTGCATGAAAATGTTCTGATGCTGTGTTGCATGACTTCTAGAAGTCATTTTGGTTCTGATGTATCGTGTGTGTGTGTGTGTAGAGCGATGAGGTCAGTGCTCTACAGCAGAGTGTGTGTTCATCCAACATGACAATCAACAGCCTCAAGCAGAAGATCGAACAGGACAAAGTGAGAATGCAATGCACTGATCAAGCAGCAGGAAGCTTTCACTCACTGTAAAAACGTCTGTTAGAGGTTAAGAAATAAAGATGATAACATATTACTTTGTAGTTAGGACAACATTTGTTAATGTATCTGCTATCGTTAGGACAACATTTGTTAATGTATCTGCTATCGTTAACTAATAAATGCTATAATTATGAATTAATGTTAACAGCATGTCAAAATATATCAGTATGTTTAAATTAACATCAATGTAATATATCACTTATTGCTATAATAGTTCATGTTAACCATAGTTAAGTGTGTCCAAATAATTAGTTTTAGTGAGGTTTATGCTTATAATACATTATGCTGTAGTATTACTAATGATTAAAATTTACATAATCACGTCATTCATTCGTTCCAATACATAATTTTAATGTAAAAAAATAAGACAACCACTGCAGGCATTTTCAAAGTGTGTTATTGGTAAACCATATGCACAAGCAGCTTATGATTAGTCATTAGGGGGAATTAATATTCTTAAATTTCTTGAAAATAACATGATTCATGCAATTAATTGGTTTCTCAGTATTATCTTATTAGGTTTCTGATGAAATTGATGTTTATCTTGATGTCCAGAATACTGCCGTTACATTTTATATATATGTTTCTAATTTCAATCTAAATTTTAATGTTTTTCCTGCTGTGTCACGGCTGGCGTTTCACTATGTGTGTGTGTGTGTGTAGGATGTGGTGCTGGAGTTGATGCAGGAGACCAGAGATCTTCGAAGCGAGGTGGCTGAAAGAGATCAGACTGTGTGTTTGCTGCGAGGAGAGATCTCTGACATCAGTGTGAGTATCTCTAGCCGTACACTACATGTGATTGTGGTATAACTTATATTTGAACAAGATATCACTAAAGGGATTGCTGAACTCAGACTTGCATGTTTAACAGGGTTTTCAGCTCAGCTCTTTCCGTAATGTAGAGAGAGCACAATGTTGTCAGGTTAAATTAAACATTTTAATAAATAAACCAGCAGGCAAATATCGCAGACAGTTATGCTTAATAAATCGAGAGCAGTAGAAATCATGATCACGATTAAAATACGGTTTATCGTGCAGCACTGTCTGATCTGAACCAACACTGAACTGAGTTGAATTAACCCTCTGGTGCTCCTCATTTGGGAGTCACACCTGTAATCTTCACGGTCAAAAGGTCTTTTGACCGGACACCTGATATTTAATTTTTTTTCGCCCCAGTAAAATCAATGTAATATATTTTTGTTCAATAATATTTTTTCTTTTGTATTTTGAGAATTTCATGGCACTAATTAATATTTATGCAATAATTATGATGAATTTCTGCCCATTGAAAATAATAAAAAAATATATATATATATTTTTATATTACTTTTCAATGAATGCAGTATTTCATGTTAAAATAGTCAATGCCTTTAAAATCCCATTTTTGAAGTCAGATTAGTGCCATCTGGTGGGAGTAAAATAAGAAAAACATCTGCAATTCCATGGTTTAGTCCATCGATTCCTATATAGCTCTATATAAAAGGCCTATACATAAATACTTATTTTTATTAAGTTGTGGGTTTGGATATATATTTAGACATTCTCAAAGACAACTTTTTGTTTAGATTTTTATTTATTTTTTTTTTAATGTTGATTTGAAGCGTCAGTTTTTTTATTATTATTACTACAGTCAAACCTGAACACAGAGAAAGCATTTTGTTATACAAAACATTAAAATTCTATAAAAATGTAACAAAAATGAACAGAAATGTTTGTTCAGAGCTTAATCCTTCTGGGTCTGATCTGATTTCAACCTCTTATTTCAGTTTTCTGACTCGTTTTGTCTATATGGTTATAGCCATACCAATTCATTTGTGTGTGTGTGTGTGTGTAAGTGAGTGTGTGTTTGAGTGAGTGCGTCTGTTTTGCACTCTTGATGTTTTAGAGTTTCACCCCGTCATTGCTGTGTACTTCTTTTCTGCATTGTGTCAGATTTGTAGATTGTACACAAAAATTCTCTGAATTTTTGTTTTTGTCAATTTCCCATTCATTTCCTATGGTCGGTCATTTTTGACCGAAGACCACAAGTGTGACAATTTTTTTTACGACAACTTAGCCTGCTCGAATCATGCCCTCAATTTTTTGGTGTTTTCACATTCCAAATGCCATAAAAGTCAACAAGTTTCGTACTATTCCGAAATTATTAAAAATAATTTTTAAAAAAACTATTAAAAATTCAAAAGAGAAACCTTTTCAGTCAAAAGTGACCGAAGAGCACCAGAGGGTTAAATAATGACAATATTGTCTTTTAGATCAGCTTTACAGCAGAATCTGAACAGTCTCCATAGTTAAATTTCCATGATTTTTATTTTCCTGTTTATCACTGTGAAGCTGCTTTGACAATCTATATTGTATAAAGTATTATAGAAGGTGACTCGACTTGACTGTGCTCTCATAGTGCTTTAGGAAGTTTGTATTGATTTTGTGAGTGTTGTACCCACAGGGGAAGTACAGCACTGTGTGCACCGAGAAAGAGCAGATGAAGGAGAGCATGACACACATGCAGAATGAACTGCAGGAGCTGCGAGAAGCTTCAGAGAGACGCCTGGCTTCTGACCGTGTAGAGGTATGTGTGTAACTGGGTTTGAGTTTTGAGGTTTTGTCAAAAGCCTCAAAAGTCTAAAGTGTGTGTGTGTGTGTCACAGTTGGAACTGCTACAGGAAGATCTGTCCTACGCTACAGATGAGGTGGAGAGACTCAGTAAAGTGGTGGAGGAGCAGGCAGCTTTGCTGGAGAGTTCCCGGACCCTGAACACAGAGAAAGAGCACAGTATAAACTCCCTGAAAGAACAGGTACTGCTCATCCTGCCTCAATTCATGCTACAGTTTTTAAATCAAATATGAGATAATGTAAAGTCCGTCGGTCAGTCATTGTCAACGTCTCTCTGGACTGCTTGATTCTGATTGATCATTCATGACGCTCTGCAGCCTGCAAAAATAGTTTTGTATGATAAGTTCTCAACAGGTTGGTTGCAAACCAAAAATGGGTGTCAGTGTTGTTTCGATGTTTTGTATACTGCAAGCAAACAGCAACGTGGAATGCAATAATAAAATGCAAAATATAATCGTTTTATAGTTAGAATAATAGTATTTGTCAACTTTTAAAAGGGAGGAGAAAATGCTTCCCATATCTTTTAGACATCAAAGGTCTAATCAGACTCTACAGTATTTGGCTGCAGTGCAAACTCATATCACTTAAGGCTGGACACTGAACAGATTTTAAAATGATAGGCATCATACACTAAAGTCTGGTAGTGTGTGATCCTCAGTCGTTCCGATTACAAACTCAAGCAGAAACGTGCGGCTTGTTTCTAGGAGACACGTGACAAGTGAAAACAATGTGGGTGCGTCTCAATCAGCTCCCGAGCTCGTGAATCAGTATATCGTGTGCATGAATCTGGTCACTTGTAAGTTCCCTGACTCATTGCGACAGTGATTACTCAACTCCCGGCGACATGACTAGTACAACGTCAACGGACATCATTGCAGGAATTAATCAACTACAGGCAGGACCACTCTCTTTCTGATATTATTTGTATTCTCTATAAACGCATTGTGCTGTTACATGTCCTTACAACATTTCAGTTGAATATTAATTATAAATGTTAACCAGATGTGTTCATTACCTGTCTAGCGATGTGTGTTTATGCTGAAATATACTAAAAAAAGGGTATTTTCAAATCTTCTATCGCATGTCATTTTATTTTTATCGAGTTGGCACTTCAGAAATGTAAGGGTAATTTCCGGTAAGGGAGCAAAGTAAGCATCGATGCTCCCTAGCTTTTATGTTGCATTGTGGGATTTTTCAGGGAGCGAACTTTCCAGTGCACTGGAAGGATTTCACGATTGAGACAGCCCTTAAAATAGCCGACTCCCTGATCAGTGCCCTGACTACTAAACTAGGGAGCTGATTGAGACGCACCCTGTTGTGTTCTAAAATCGGTTCAAAATATCAAACATGTTTGATCCTCCTCCTCATGTTTGATCTGTGACCATCAGAGGTGTGTTGCCCCTGTCGGCGTCAACAGTCAACGTGTTTGTCTGCGGTGTGAATTGGCCTATACACTGCATGATCTGCAGACTGGCTCTGACTGGCCAAAGAAATCTGGGCAAAATTGATTTAGTGTATTATTAGTGGTGTAACTAGAACGATTTTTGTGTGTGCACAGGTGGAACAGCTGAGTGATCAGATTAACCTTCTGAGAGTGAGAGAATCTGTCAGTCAACCTCCAGATGCTGCCACTCCCAAAGGAAAAATACAGGTGTGTATGTCTGCTGAGCCATATTTGTGGGGCAAACTTGTATCCAGAAAACCTCACAAAACCTCCTCTTGGGGATGTCATCATTTGCAAAAGTAAAGTAAATAAAGTTTGTTGTTGTTTTTTAAATGGTAAAAATACAGCTTATGCTGTGGTTTATTGTTAAGTTAACGTGGTAACCTGTTTTCTTTTATTGGAGTACGGTCATAAATGGCTTGGGCATAAACCGGTCGACCCAGGTCGTTTTTTGCCTCTTTCCCCGATTTCGCACGGCATGTAAACGCATTAACCCGCTTTCTGTCGGCTTATTGAAGTGTGCATGTGTGAAACGTGACGGGAATGCATCGTTAGTGCAGATTTAAGCGCATCTGACAGAGCTTACATGGTTTACTTGCGTTGTCAGGTTACTGATGTGCATGTAAACGGGGAAAACTGGTTATTTTAATAATATGATATTTGTGAGTTATCAGCTTATTGGTGTGCATGTAAACGTGCTCATTGTCTGCTTTCAGACGCCGCACACCCCCTGTGGCTTTGGCTCGAGTCTGTCTCAAGTGCTGGAGTGTCAGGAGAGAGAGCTGGAGAGCCGACGCTCCTCTATGATCACCATGGAGGTTCTGCTGAAAGAGCTCAATGCAGAACGCACAGCTAAGAACCAAGAGATCGACAGATTGAAGGTCATGCTCATGCACACGCAGTTCCCACTACAGCAAACATACAGCGGGAATCTTACAGCTTATTAAATAATCAAGTCAATAAATGTAATAAATCCATTAGTTTGTTGTTATATACTTATGTACTCATGTTGTGTAAATTGTCAATTTTAATTGCAGTGCACCCAAAATATTATACTTTTGAGTTTTGTTTTGTTTTTTATAAAACGCTTAACGCGTTTTATAACATGTTTGCCTATGCATCTATAGGCCCAGCTGAATGAAAAAGAGATTGTGCGAATGGAGATTCAAACGCTGTTGGACAAGTTTTATGCCGTCCAGAATCAGCGCAATCAGAGCGGATATGCGCAAGAGTAAGAACAATTCACTCACACACTTGTTCATACATGAGTTTTCTGTCCCTGCAAATTAAACCGTTTATTTGTCTTTATAGAGATGTGAGGGAGGCCACACACATTTCTGTTTTGAGAGAACTAGAAGAAGAGAAGAAAATAAAAGTATGTCAAGGCAAGACCTAAAAAATCTCTATACGAATTAGTTTACATCACCTCTGAAGTAAAAAAAATAAAAAATTGCATAAAAATATATGGTAATTGCCATTTCTATGTGAGGCCCTGTTAAGTTGAATCTTTTTTTTTTTTTTACACAGAACTCCCTGATGATGCAGTTGTCTGAATCTCAGACAGCGTAAGTGAGCTGATATTTGTTGAAATCATATTGTTTAGATTATCTGAAGCTGAATGAAAACATTTTTTAGAAGTTTTATTTGTGGTTGAAACCCAATATTCCTTTTGGGCCTATTTACACTTGGCCACTTCATGCATTTTCTTTGATCGGATAGCTATTCATTCGCAAAAAGACCAGGTGTAAATGGCCTCTGAAACGCATTCAAGACTGATTGCACTTGGAGGTGGTTTGAGACGCATTCCAGATGCAACTGGACAAGGTAAAAGTGTCTGGTTGAAACCACATACGTAAATTTTACTCCTACCAGAACAACACAAAAGAAAAAGCAGGTGCAAGCACATGTTATAACTACTGGCTCCTGATAGCAGATACCACAGCATTACTGCAACATGCATGTGCACAGATATGGCCTGTCAGAGACAAGCATCTCTCTTCAGCAAGCATGTGCAAATGAAACTCTCTTCGCCTGTTTAACACAGTCATTTTCATTAAGTGTTGAACGCTCAATTCTTTCAGCAGTGCCGATGACGCTCTCAATCTTCGATTGCAGCACATATCTGTGGCTTTCAGTGACGTGAATCTGCTGAATTTGCAAATAGTGCAGCAGTTTAAGATCAAATTTATATTGGCTTCGCAGAGACTCATTTATGTGGCCAAGTAACTAATCGAAAAGCTCTCTGATGGAGTGACAAGTGTGAATAGGTTCTTTCTTACTGTCCGCTGCTGTTTGGTCTGTTTTCTCCTGCTTGTTTCTTGGAAAAACTGGTTTTGCCCGTCCTTAACCCTGCAGGTCTACACAGTTTGCACTGGAAGCACTTTCTGTTGTAGAGCAGACTGTTTTGTAATACGGCAAAGTGTCTCCAACCACTATTTTCCGCCACCCAAAAACAATAAAAGTTTTTATGCCATTATTCCAACAGTTTTTCCATTCCATATTGTGCGTTAAATGTATGAATTGCCATGAAACTCCTGTTACACACACTAATCTTCTTACACCCCGTGTGTGTGTGTGTGTGTTACAGGCTGCAGCATAATGAAGGCACTCTTGTCCAGTCTCAGACGTGTGTGCAGGAACTGACCACTGAACTTAGGAATCGCTGCCTGGAGCTGCGGGAGCTGCGGAAGCTGCAGAAAGACCATCAGCAGGAAAAACTGCAGCAGGTCAGAGAGAAAGCAATGGCTGCATTTACACTGTAGGTCTAGATGCCCAAATCAGATTTTTTGATTAATCTGATTTTACAGCTTACACCTTCTTTTAAAAGTGACCTGTATCCGATATCTGCATTTACACTACATGGGCTTAACTTGAAAAACACTTAACGTGACTCAATGCATTAGACAGTGATATTAAAAGACCAAACTCTGCGCACACACATAGAAACATTAATGCGATAGTTTACATCAAAATCATTCATTAGTACAGATTCTTCATCCGTGGGTACTAATGGTCTAGCAGTAGAACTTGTGCAAAGCACGTTAGCAGGGTTCTGGGTTTTAATCCGCCCTCGTATAGTTTTTCCTCATTAAAACCAATTGTGTTCTCCAGTGATCGTAAGAGCAGGGACATGTTTGTGTGTGTATTATTTTGTGATTTCGCCTGAACGAATAGAGAGCCTCCACAACAGTTAGCAATAGATTGAAGCACTCGTCTGTGCACAAGCCGCCGTCTTTAATACTCTGCTAGAGAACTAGAGATGTTTCATTTGTAATAGATATACATCTGTACCGCGAAGCGTTTCAAAAACATTTGACATCCAACTCGCATTAACAGGGGAATATCCGAGAATGAGGCCTGAAACCGATCTGAGAATATCAGAATGTTTTTTTCCAGCTTACACGTTCATGGGCCATATTCGATCTGTGCCACGTGGGAGGACAAAATCACTATTGGGTCACTTGAACCATGCAATGTAAATGCGGCCAATGGTTCAACAATAGGGACTGCCTGATGGCCTGGGATCAGCGTAAAAGATGCTATAAGGATTTGAGGGAATTGTCACACGTGCAAATTATAAACTTTCCTTATGATGCAGCCCAGTCAGGCCAATTTAAACATTTAAGCGATTTTCAACCATTCAAGTGCAAGAAGACGCTAAAGAATTCAATTCAGTTCTCTCATGCTTTCTGACTGTTTTCTGTGCACACACCCAAAATGTTCACACAAAGCCACCTCTCAGACTGCACACGAGTACTGAATTGAGTTGTCCATGCATTAGGTTTTAACAGTGACAGCAGCTTAAAGGGGTGGTTCATTGCGATTTTAAATTTTTTAACGTTAGTTCGTGTGTAATGTTGCTCTTTGAGCATAAACAATATCTGCAAAGTTGCGAAGCTGAAAGTTCAATGCAAACGGCGATATTGTCTTTTAAAATTCTGGCAGTTTAATGCCTACAAAAACGGCTGGTTGGGACTACAACGAGTTACTTCCCGGGTTCGTGACATCACAAACCCAGATAAACCCCGCCCTCGGGAAAAGGCAGCAAAGGGGGCGAGGCCTGCGCTGCTTTAGAGAAGAGGAAGAGAAAACTAGAGGTGCACGTAAAAATCTATTCATATATGAATCGTGATTCTGTCTTCTAACGATTCTAATGGATTCACAAGTTTCAAAATCAATGTTCTAAAGCAGCAGTTCTTAATACTGTTTCTCGCGTCCCCTGCTCTGCACATGCTCTGCATCTCTCT